AAGCATCAAGGAGGCTGATAATTAGAACCAATCGCTCACCACCCGCCTCACAGCCCCCCCCCCCCCCCCCGGCGCCATCCGCTGCCGGCTTCTCATCAGCAAATCTCGATCCTTTCTCTCTCGCTCTCTATCTTTTCCCACAGTATCATGGGCAACAGCCAGGGGAAGGAGGCACTGCCGGCTGCCAGAGGCCATGCACGCCGCTCCAGTTCCGGCCTCGCCACCTCACCCACGACTGCCGGGCCCGCCGGCTCATCTCACGAGAGAACGGGAAGTGGCATATACAGTTCCCGCAATGGCAGAGGGAGCAGACCGGACCTCTCCTTCCTTGGCATTCGGAGCGTAGAGACTGCGGAGCGCGACCCCGCCCTCGAGCCTCGCAGGGAGACCAAGGCCGAGCGAGAAGCCCGTAAGCTAGAGAAGGAGCGCATCATACGGGCACAGGAGCGCGAGAAGAGCTTGCGGGAAGAGGGTGTTGATGGAGGCTTTCTCGTCACCCTCGGCGTATACACGGGGCCAGAAGACTTCAGCAAGCCAACGGTGCGGCAACTGCAGGTATGTGCGCCCGAAGATTTTCGGCATAGCAGGATCATGCTCACACAGACTACTATAGATTGAACGCCGCCTGGCTCCCTTCTGGAAGGGGCTCGACGACCACGAAGACACATGGACCGAACATCAATTGGTGGCCGTAGTCAAGGGGTTGCCACTACCCGCTGCCGATGAAATTCCCCCAGAGGAGCCCCCACGGCCGGCCAACCACCTCAGCCCAGTGTGGAATCCTCGCGGCTCAGAGTCCAACTTGAATAGCCTCACAGTCCCAATGGGCTCGCGTTCCATGTCCCAAAACTCGGACCGATCCAACCTCTCACCATCAAATCCCACTTTCTCGCTGCCCTCGCCAATATCCCCGATATCTCCAAACTCGAATTCCGGCGGGACCTTTCGCGGTCGTGCCAAAACGCTGGCTTCGCTTGCCACCGGTTCGCGCAATGCCTCGCAGACAGAGGTGGGCCCCCAGGAGATGAAGCTTCCGCAAGACCCCTACGTTAATGGCCAACGGGTCGAGGCCTTCTTATACAAGAATGCTGCCGAGTGTCCCATCTGCTTCATGTTCTACCCTCCACATCTGAATAAGACTCGTTGCTGCGATCAGTCGATATGCTCGGAATGCTTCGTGCAAATAAAAAGGCCTGATCCACACACGCCAGAGCATCATGGAGACGCGGAAGCTACACCGGCCGAGCCCGAGGAAGAAATCAATCTGGTCTCAGAACCGGCAACGTGCCCGTTCTGCAAAATGCCAGAGTTTGGCGTCACATATGAAGCACCACCATTTAGGCGCGGACTTGTGTACAGTTTTCAAGGTCAAGGTCCCTTGAGCAGCCCCACCTCAGCCATGTCCTCGACAACGTCACTCAATTCTCCGAATAGTGCGCCGACGGGGCGGAGGAGAGCGACATCACTCGCGGTCAACGACAAGGCGGTTGTGACTACCGACATGGTCCGACCCGATTGGGCGAAGAAACTTGCCGATGCGAGAGCCCATGCGTTGAGAAGAGCTGCTGCAGCCACAGCGCTTCACAATGCCGCCTACATGATGGGCAGTGCGCAACAGCAAGAAAGTCGCTTCGCTATCGGCCGAAGGAGGCGAATGTTCGGTACCGACAGTGCCGGTAGCAGTGGCGTAGGAACACCACGACGCGAGGGTGAAGCGTCTTCGGGACGCGCCACAGAAAGCATGGGTGACCTCTTTCCCGCACGTCTTAGTTCACGGCGAGGCAACAGAATCGAAGATCTCGAAGAGCTCATGATGATGGAAGCCATTCGTCTGAGTCTAGCGGCCGAGGAAGATCGCAAACGACGAGATGAGAAGGAAGCAGCCAAGGAGGCGAAAAAGGAGGGAAAGAAGAAGGCAAAGGAAAATCGAAAATTCGCAAGGGCTCAGCGCCATATTGAGAGTGGCTTCCATCCCATTGATGTTGATGGACTGGAGGAGGGCGGTGCTGGTAGTTCGTCGGCCGGTGGCAAAGGGAAAGAGATTGATCGATCTGGCGGATCTGCCAACACATCACAATCAGCGGATAGTGCTCAGAGACATCTAGAAGATAGTCGCGCTCATTTCCATCGAGAGGCGTCTGGTACAGGCCAGTCTGCGGCCTTCGACCCTCGCAGTACCGAGCTTCCCTCACATCGATCTGCACTCCGCAACCTTTCCGAGGGATCATCGTCTGCCTCGTCTTTTGCAGAATCTTTTCAAAATTCATTACGCAATGACAGCAATAACCTTGCCCCTGGTTCGTCATATGGCCACAGCCCAAACACTTCAGGGTTGAGCCTGAGTCAGGGCGAGCCGACGCAAAATGACACCCCTGGAACGGAGCCCATGTTCAATTTCAAGAGCCTTGCCGAGGCCATCAGTCCAGAGGACAAGACAAAGGATGCAGAGCCGCAGTACATTGAAGATGTGGCGGAGAATCAGCCGACGCGCCTAAGTGGCAAAGCTCCCGAGCTCACCTTGAACCTGGATCCCACGATCCGAGAACCCCTTGGAGAAAGTTTGATGACACTTAGGCCTGAGGAGGCAGCAGCTCAAATCCCTGAATCACAACCACAACCACAACCCCAATCACATTCTCGACTTCACCACGAGGACGGCGCCGACATCAGCCCCGCTCCTCACGTGCATTTGGTCACTGACGACCATTCGCACCACAGTGACCAGAAACATATTGGAGAGCTAAGTGTGAATACACTGAGCCAGGAGGCCACCTAATGACCATCTTCCCGCCTCTCGCCCTATACTTCCACGGTAGTCTTATCGCGTTTCCTCCAATTTTAACCATATTACCCACACCCACACCCCGCATTTTTTCACTCGCTCACTCACTTCACTCAGTCTTTCTTTTTTTTTCTGCTTCATTTGCATCTCATCAGGCGTTCACACTGGGCGCCCGCAAGCGCATGGCGTATTTCCTTGTCGGTGGTTCTTCTCTTTTCTTGGCATCTTAGCATCAATCGCTATTCTTTTTTCAAGTTTTCCAATACCTCTCTCCCCTTGTCTGGATCTGGATGGTTTGGGTCCTTGGGTAGTGCATATGCGCGTCGTTTCTTTTTCTTTTCTTTTGAAGGAGGGATTTGGAGGAACTGTGTGTGAGGATGGGATTTGGGATTTGGCGATTTGGCGATTTTGGAATTGGGGGCCTGGGAGGACCAAGTGGGATGGATGGACGGTGGGTTTTTAGAATGGGGTCGGGATTGTTTTTGTTTGGGGTATAGTTTTATTTTTCCTCTTCTTTTTTTTGGTTTTTTACTTTTTCATGGTTTCTCGTTGCAAGATTGAGAGTTGGCTGGTGCATTTTGCTTTGCACACTGCATTGCGCCTGTCTTTTTTTTCTTTTTTTTGTACTTCTTCATTTTGTGTTTGGCGGGTATGGCGGGTAGGCGGAAATCACTTACTCGAGTAGCTTGCAATACTCATATACATGTCTGTGTGCCTAGCGACACAAATCAACCCCCTTTTGGCATGCATCTATTTATTCTCCAAGGATATATCCTACTAAAGATGTGAAGATGAGAAAATTTTTGTATAGTTGAGTCTGGATTTTGTTGGGTGAGTTTATGATGGTGATGATGATTGATGCTTTGCTAGCAATTATAGTTATTTTAGGTAAGAAGCGGGCAGTGCGCATCATTCCACACTTTCCTCCACCCAACACAAAAGGACCACAAAATAAAGCAAGAAAGTAAACTAGCAAGCAAACCAGCATAATCAATCAAATCCAGCCCCTTGCAAGTTGCACAAATAATATCCCGATAATGCGCCCTTTTGTTTTGCGCGTGGTTTATACTACATGAACATCCCCCTCCCCCTCCTCCTCCTCCTCCCCTTGCTTTCCTTGCTGCTTGCTGCCCTGTTGTGTGGGGAGGGAGAATGTAAGTGTGAAAGGGGGCTGTGAAGGTGCAAAAGAACTGCCCCGTTGTGTGCCAAGGGAGGATGGAAATGGAAATGTGATGTGCAAGATGGGAAATGGGAAATGGTGAATGTAAATGTAGTGGAAAAGCTGGGGGACGAGGGCGCTGAAACTCCGGTTGTGTGGGTTGGGTCGTGCAAGTCGTTACGTCGTTGATTTGTGGGGAGGATGGTGGGGGTAGGATGTGGCGTGGTTGGTCGTGTGTGGTGTATAGCGAGGATGGTGGCCTGTGGTGTATAGCGAGGATGGTGGCTTGTGGTGTGTGGTGTGGTGTGGTATGGCATGGTACGATACGGTATGATAAATCGGGGCAATCCTCGCGACCCCCTTCCCATCCACCCATCCACCCAGACCCCAACTCCACCATCCCTCCCCCCCTCCTCCTCCAACTCACGCCACCAACCCATCCCACATCTCATAAATCTGCGTATATGACAACAAAGCAGTCGCACGGTGCGACACCAAGGGAGCCAACATGCGAGTCGCCGTGCGCACGGCGGCGGCGTGGTGGGCGAGGAGGTTGGCGGTGTTGGCTTGGAGGGTGCGTAGTTTGGAGGGGTGGAGGAGGTGGAGGAGGGTGAGGGACCAGCAGAGGGATTGGATTAGGAGGAGGAGGGTTAGGAGGAGGCGGAGGGTGGTTGGTTTGGACATTGTGGGGTTGGACTGTTGGACTCCTGGGTTTTGGGGGGGACGGGCTTGGACTCGAGGGTTCATGAAGGGTTGGGGAGATGGAGATGGAGATGGAGAAGTTCTTGGATATGCGAGATGGGAGGGATAGTGGTTTACGTGTGTGTTTTTTCTTCTTCTTTATGTGCGTGTGTATGTGTGGGTATGGTGGTTGAGGTTGTGGATAAGGCAGCACGGGCGAGAGAAACGAGAAGAGAGATGCGCTTTGAAGGAGCGAAAGAGTGGAATTGCAGAAATGAAGATAAGAAGAGATCTCTGTACCTGGCTGTCGTTCATGTACAAGAGGATCAAATGTGACAAGTGGAGTCTCCCTGCACATGTGCTGCAAAGGCTAAGATGCCATGTTGGCATCTTCACCGCAATTAAGACAATCCTGGAAAGGGTTCGAGGGGGGTTGTCTCTGTCTCTCCAAGGTGTCCTTTGCCATACGGCGGATTAGGTGTTGCTGTTCGGCGTTGCGTCAGCCGCCGCCATAAGCCCGATGTGATTGGCCTGTGTTGGATTGATTAAACTTGGTGGCTCCCGAGCAGGAGGGCTTGTGTGAACAGGCAGGTCTATCGTGAGTGAGCTTCCTCTTCAACTGGAAATTGGCTGCGGTGTGAGGGACCCACAGAGCCTAAGGCCAGGGACAGCTAGAGCGCTGTTGATGGACCGCCCCACGTGCTGGCCTGACTGCCATCAGCTGTGCCGACTGTGCATCCAGCCCGCCTCAAGCTCACTACCACACTACACCCGAACCACTCACCACTCTTGGCCCACTGTCCTCTCGACTTCTCAACAATCCAATGCTGATCCCGCATGTTGCTTGCGAATCATGACTATTGCACCGTGTCATCGCCGCAGAGGCTGGGGTTCGCTGGACCCTCCCTGAGCTTCTTCCGCCAGAAAACGACAGCCGCCCACAACGAGTCAACATCGTGAAAGAAGCCTTTTCTGCAAACTCTCCACCATACAGATAAGGCCATCAACTGCGCAATACACGCCAGCTTTCGCAAACATTCACGAGCTCCGCTGTCACGCGGCTGGCAATGAAGTCCAGATAGATCTCCAGGCCACCCGCTAAACTCGATGCACCAGACCAACCCCAAAGCGAACTGGAGCCCATTCTTGCTACATGTTTCCCACCATGGCTGGGGAATCTGGGGTGCACCCCGGATGCGGACCGGCTTGTAGCACGTTTCCATCTCACAGGTTGTAACAAGACGCCTCGGCGGTATGCTTATTCGACTTGTCGTGCTTACCCTGTGTTTGCCTGGCCTATCATGTGAGACGGAGCGTCTTGGTTTTCCCTTGACTATTCTTCTTCGATACGCACGCAGCTGGACCGCAGGGCATGGCTCGAATTCGAGAAGCGCGGTGGAATGCATTCTTTGTTGGTGCTACCCCAAGAGTCAAACTACCGAAAGGTTGTCAACAATTATGGTAAATAGCTCGGCCAAGGCACTTCATCTCGGCACCCAAGCTACGAGGCCGCCTTGCGGTACGTTACTGTCATGTGTTGCCTGCAGACTGTTGCGCTGCAAGTATCGCCATGAGAAGGTCAATCCCAAACTTCCAAGCCGCCAACAACTCCTCCAAGTCAGGCAACAGATAAAGTGTTGCAGGAGGGATATCAACCGGATCACGGAGCATCTTGATCCGATCAATCCCGATCAATACCCCTGTATGACCCACTATCTAATCAACTGCCAGCTCACTGCCAAGCGCCCAACAAAAAGCAGGAGCTCTAGTAAGGAAGGTTTACCAATTATTCACCTTCTAGTAAGGGTAGCTAAAGCTCTATATATATAAGTCTGATCGTAGTAGATATAATCTAATAATCTATCTCCTAAATTATTCCTAACCTTAGTAATCTAATTTTCCACAGTTATAAGCCTAGTTTGCGCTTTACCTTATTAAAGATCGTCCTATCTATTTAAGCGTATTGTTTAACTTAAACACTAAGCTAGTAAAGCTTTACTCTTTCTTTATACTATTTCTTAAGCAGAAGCTTACTTATTACTCTTCTACTATAAGCGACCAAATCCTAAAGGGGGATATCCTACTTACTAGATTAACTAACTAGCCTACCTAGTATATTTAATTTAGATACTATGCCCTAACTAAAGGGATCTAGGCAGAGGTAGACCTTAAGGCTCTAGATGCTAAAAACCACTTTAAGAATAAACCTATTAAGCCTAACATGCTAATAAATATCACGCTATCTAACACAATAAGCAAGTAGTACAAGCTCTAAATAGCTTAGTACTAAGCCCGCTTATTAGATTAGGTATTAAAGTTATTAGTAATCTAGAACCTCTTTATATAGGTTAATAACACAGTAGATTAAGGGATCCTTACCCTAGCCTATATAGAGCTTGTTAATTAAGGAAGAGTAACCCTCTAAGCACTTATCTAAGTGCTCTGTAATAACCTAGCGCTAACTAATTTAAGCGCTGCAATACTAGCAAGATTATAGTACAAAGCTTATCTTGCTAAAGCAAAGATAAGTGGTTAAGACGCTAATCGCTAGCAAAAGGAGTGGATAATCCTGTATGCGCGAGCTAAGGTATATAACGTTCCTAATATTAAAGGACAGCTTGCAGTATAGGATTATCTTAAAGCTCTATCTACTAGGATCTTACTAGATTAGGGTTAAACTATATTTTAAAGGATTATTAAAAAGTTAGTAATAGGAGAGCTAACATATAACCTCCCGCAGGTTACTAAGATCTATTTATTACTTCTCTAAGAAAACAACATAAGATTAAGCTCTAGGGGTCCTAGAGTATTTGCAATAATAGGAGCTCTACCTTCTAATTAACTAAAGAAGGAGTCTTTATACCTATACAGTAGATCTTACCTATAGAAACCTCCTAAATACAAAAACGTTATTAAAGCTTAGACTAATATAGGTAACAAGCTTACTACTACTTAATAATTAGAGATTAAGAAAAGGATTAATAGGAATTAAAAATTTAAAGAGTTAAGGAAAGCTCTAATTAAGTCCTATCCTATTAATTAAGATTATAGTAGTAAGGCAAGCACGATTACCTATCTAGGCAGTATCTAGGCGGCACTAATTAACCCTATATTAATAGCAGAGAAAACGAACAGGATCTATTTAACTATAGACTTTAAAGCTCACGCTCTATTAAAGAGCACTATCTTTAACAATAGAGGTGTAGTGCACCTAGTTAATAATATAAGCTACCTAGAAGAAAGCTTGTTTAGATTAGTTAAATATAAGACAGTTAAAGTAGGAACTTAAGCTTTTCTAATCTTAGGTAGAGGGACTAGAGTGATCCCTAATACTCTTAATAGACTAAGAGGTCCAAAAACAGAAGATTTAGTGCTTACTAACGTAGTGTTAGTAGAAGGTTTTTATGTAAATATTATATTAGAAGCTTAATTACTTAAAGCAGGAGTTTAGTTCCTTAGGCTAGATGCTACCTTACAGTTTAGATTATTAGAGAAGAGCGTTATATTAGCTAAGTTACTGCGCAAGTTTAACTTAACTTTCCTAGAATACAAGCCCTCTACCCCTTATTAAATAATCTAAAGCATAGTGCCTAAACAACACTAACAATCCTGGACGACTTACCTAAGACATAATAGTAAGGAGCTTTAGCACTAATAATTAGGCTATTTAGGACCTAAGGCGCTTAAAGCTCTAGTTAAGTTAGCAATAAACGTTAGGATTAAAGGAACTCCTAGGAGCAAATGCGAGCACTACGCTATTACACATGCCTAACAGGTTATATTAAGACAACTAAGGGAAAGATCACTACGTCTATACTACTAGGTATTATAGGATCTATTTGACATGCTAACAGGTATAGCTTATAAGCAATAGATCTTAGTATTAAAGTGCGACTACTTAGGAAAGCTTTATACCTATCTACTGCAAGCCAAAAACCTTAATAAGATTATACAGGTGTTTAAAAATTTTAAGAGCTTAATACTTAACTAATAATAAGCTTAGCATAGTTAAGATTATGCAAGATAATAACATTATAACGCTCCCTTAGCGTGGCAAATCTCGCTTTTAGATCTAGGTAGCTAACAATAGTATTAAAATTAAGAGCTCACCCGTATATACCTATAAACCTAATAGAGGAGCAGAAAGAGTAGGGCAAGAGATTATAACGAAATCAATTAAAATAAGGATTAGTGCTAACCTACTAATAAAGCTCTAGCCTAAAATTATTAAAGTAGTAACTTAGCTCTATAATATAAGCCTATCTTATGCTTATAATATAATATCACCTAATAAAGTGCTAGATTGTTAGTTTACTAGATACTTTAGGTGGTGGCAACTAGAGCAGATAAGGGAGGCAACTGCTAATCTCTGCCCTGATTAGAGCGGAATATACGCCTATAGCTATCAAGCTTACCCCCTTAACTAAGATTAAGTAGCTGGGCGTTACAAGAGGGTTTTTAAGGTAAACCCTTAGGGTTATATTAGATATCTAGTAGGATATAGAGCATCTAATATATATAGGATATAGATCCCCTTGCTTAATTAGATTATTATAACGCGGAACGTTACCTTTAATAAGGATCTTTTCTACAAAGAGAAAGATCTAGAGTAGCTTTAACAGTTAGAAGCTTAAAAGATAGTTAACGTTATTAGTAAAGATAAGATCTATAATATAGGAGAAGCATATAAAGAGCTTAATATCTTTAATTAGCTTTGTATTATGGTAGAGTAACATAAGGAGTCTAGTAAGCAAGGAGGACTAAACCTAGCGTAGGAGCTAGGGGGTAGGGTAGAGCTAAAGGAGGTAGATAATTAGGCTAGCTAGCCTAGTAATTTATAACCCTCTAAGCAGACACCTCTAGCGTAGGTACTAAGCATAGCTAGCTTAGTATAAAGGATCTATGCAAAGTCCCCTAAGCTAATAGGGCTCTAAACTCCTAAACTAACACTAGAACTAAACTTTAGTACAGGATACAAAGGATCTATACAGGTTATGGATTAGGGTCTTACTACCTAAGATAGTAGTAATCTAACTTACTTTAACGCCACGATAGGTAGCTCCTAGGAAAGACCTAGAGGGGAGAGTGCTATTAATAGGTTACTCTATAAGAGCACAGAGATAGGTGAGGGCACCCTATCTAGTTCTTATAGGGGTGGTGAGCAGAGCTCCCGCCCACCTGCTTTAGGACTAGATTCTGTATCTCCTGCAGATCCCTTACAAGCGGCACCTAGAGCTCCTAGAAAAAGCAGAAAACCGCGAGTTAAAGGACTGCCACTAACGTGTGTTAGTAAGCAAGCTTAGGGACAGGACCCTAATAAACTACTAGGAGGCTCTACAAGTGCGGGGATATATATAGTAATAGATCTATTAGATATAGATCTAATTAGAAATCCCTTGCACAATCTTTTAGTATATCCTAAACTAAATACTACAATCCACGCTATAATCGCAGCAGTAATAGGGAGCAAATCCCCTAAAAACCCTAAAAGAAATACGCACTAGGACGCTCTATAAAAAGAGCTAAAATAATAGAAGGATCTCTATAACTACTAAATAGGACAGCAATTTAGAGACGTAGTATATAAAGAAATTAATACTCTACTAAAAGCTAGTACCTAGGAGGAGATTAATAGGCTAAATATAGGAGAGCGTCTACTCCTACTTAAATAGGTGTTTACATACAAGCTTGATTAGGATAGTTACCTAATTAAGTGCAAAGCAAGGATAGTAGTAAGAGGAGATCTATAGCTTACTAACTTAATTTATTCAACCTACGCAGCTACCCTAGTAGCTTAAACCTTTAGGACTACAATAGCTATTAGAGCTAAGTTTAACCTTAAGATATATTAATATAACGTTGTTAGAGCTTTCCTTAACGCCTTAAGAGATTAACACCCTACAGTTATCTGCGAGCTACCTAAAGGATATTAAATACCTAGGAAGTGCGTTAAGCTTAAACGAGCTCTATATAGACTAAAAGACTTACTATTATTATAGTATAATAAGCTCTTAACTACACTCTAAGAAAATGAGCTTATTGCTTCTAAAGAGGAGCTATGCCTGTTCTTTAATAGAGATCGCAGTATCTTGTTGATATTCTATGTGGACGATATCCTATCGCTCTATTACTGAAACTACGCAAGCTAAGCTTATAGAGTTATCTAAGCTCTAAAGCAAAGATATAATATAGAGGAAAAGGGACCTGTAAGCTAGTTTCTAGGGGTAAGAGTAATCTAGGATAGAAAGAGACAGACAATAACGCTTGTTTATAATAAATACATTAACAAGATTACAAAGAAATTTAATCTAGTAGAGATAGGAAAATTCCCTACTACACTACTATTAAGTAAAGATATTAAAAAGAGCACAGGAGAAGCTACTAAAAAAGAGATTAAGGACTATTAGGAGCGCGTTAGATTAATCCTTTACACCTTAATTATAGTGCGCCCTAATATTGCCTATGCAGCCTCCTAGCTCTCCTAATACCTTACTAACCCATCTAAATAATACTTTGATGCGGTTAATCAAGTGATCGTCTATCTATACTAAACTTAATACTAATTAATCTAATATAGGAATAGGGATCCTAATAAGCTTATAATATGTAGTAATGCGTTATTTGCTAATAATATTAATACTTAGCGATTATTACATAGATACCTAATTACGCTCTTTAGAGGACCTATTATTTAGAAGGCAGCTTAACAAGCAACTATTACTACTTCAACTACTAAGGCAGAGCTCCTTGCGCTTAAGTAAGTAAGCAAAGAAGTAATAGCGTTAAAACGCTTTTTAACTAAAATACATCTTACTTTAGATACTACCTAGACAATTAATTGTAATAATTAATAAACTATTAGGTTAGTAGTAGGCAATAATAAAAGGATTACTACTAAGCTGCGCTATGTGGATATTTAAAACATGTAGCTTAGGCAAGAATATGCAAAGGGATCTTTCTATATTACCTACCTACCTACTAGTAATATACTAGCTAATAGGCTTACTAAAAATCTAACTATATAATAATTTATAAGGTTTAGGGAGCACCTAAAGTTATATAATAGTAGAGCACAGATTATATAGCATTAATTAAAGTAAGGTAGTATACAAGATCTATTAATATATAATATAAGAATAACTAACTATAGCCTACCTCTCTATTATTAACTAGGTAGCTTCCCTAAGGAGCTCTATTACGCGCGTGAAGCGTGCCTTAGAGTCTATAGGGAGCTGCCTAGGTTGCCCTATCCTAGGATCTATAGGGGGAACCTTAAAGGAGCTAAAGTCCTTATCTTCTAATAAGGAGCTCTAGGCGCCCTTAGCTGCTAAAGCAGCCTTGCGCGCAAGCTCAGCGGCAGCAGCAGCAGCTTTTACTAGCTCCTGCTGCTTAGCCTTGCTCTCCTTAAGGAGCACTAAGACCCTCTGCTTCTTATCCTTAAGAAGGTCTTAGCTCTTACCTACCTGCTTCCTTACTAGGAAAGATAGCATAGAACGTTAGGTAAGCTTAGGGCTATTAGTTTATTAGTATAAGATCTTACTAAAGCGTTATAAAGGAAAAATTCTTATATAGATTACATATATTAGGATATAGCTATACCTAGAGGAGTACTACTAGTACTAAGTCCCCCTACTAGAAGAGTTATAGCACTTGCTATTAGACTTATTAAAGAGCGCTAAGCGCAGATAATTTAGACAAGTTTTAGCACAACAAATACTAGGCTCTCTATAGCAGGAGGATCTTAGGGTCTCCTTAGGAGCTAGAGAGGGAGCAGGAGCAGGGATAGGGGATAGGGTCTAGGGAGGAGCGGGAGCTAGAGTTAGAGCTAGAGTAGTAGGAGCTAGAGCAGGAGCGCCCTTCCTTAGCTTCGCGATCTTAACTATAGTAGTAGTAGCTGCGCGCTTAGCTACTGCACACTCTATAATAGCCTTACGCTTAGCAGTAGCGCGCTCTTCTTTAGTAGTAGTAGCTTTAGTAACTATAGCTTTAGCTACGTAGGAGGTAATAAGGGCAGCGCAGGTAGAGTAAGCGCGAGTAGTAGTTTTTAACTTTAACTAAGGTACAGGTTAGTAGGGATATAGGTATAGTTTAGATCTTTAGGGTTATATAATCTTATAATACAGGCTATAGTAAAGATTATAGTTAGGTAGATAGAGTTATAGAGCTAAGTCTAGGCAATATCTACGCGCGCAAGCGCAGGCTAAATAAGGAAGGCGCGCTAGTTAGTATCTAAAGGGTAAGCTAATTTAACCCTTTAGATATATAACGCTCTAATTAGCTACACTACCTACTAACCATAAGCGTAACTACAACAACAAAAGATCTACCTATACCTAGGGGGTATATTGCAGGAGGGATATTAACTAGATTACAGAGCATCTTAATCTAATTAATCCTAATTAATACCCCTGTATAACCTACTATCTAATTAACTGCCAGCTTACTACTAAGCGCCTAACAAAAAGCAGGAGCTCTAGTAAGGAAGGTTTACCAATTATTTACCTTCTAGTAAGGGTAGCTGAAGCTCTATATATATGAGTCCGATCGTAGTAGATACAATCTAATGATCCATCTCCCAAATCATTCCTGACCTTAGTGATCCAATTTTCCACATAAAGCTATTCCAAAGATGAGCTGCTCGCTCCTGCTCACCGAGGAACTCGCTCAAGAACACGGAGGAATAGACGAAAACTATCTGCTCCTACCGCGTTGGGTTAGTGCGACTGCGGCAACGGAGTCGAGAACATCAGCCACCATTTTGGTAGTCTGGTGTTTTATGAGATTCTTGAATCAAGGATCCCCCGCATTTCAGTTTCTTTCGTTGCACCTTTGAGATTTACACGCTTTCTTGGACCGGATTGTTGGCAATGGGGTCCTCAGAGGAGAAATTCGACCACGTCAAGGCGCAGACGGTTGTCACTGTGCGGCCGGTATCACCAATGAGACTTGGTGGAATAGGAGGCTCGAAGACGTTCTACGATGATGAGAGTGCGGTCTCAAGTCCTGGATTAAGCGTCATCAGTTTGGAAGAGATGGAAGCAAGACTGAGACCACAGTGGTACCGCAGAAGTGGAGCGCCGTCCTGGCGAGACAGAGTCAGCTGGTATGGCTTGCGATTGCGAACAGGGGAAACAGAATCACAGCGAAGAGAAAGAAGGAGACGTTGTTGTCGATGGACAGTGATCACGGTTGTCGTTTTTACAGTATTCGGCGTCATGGCTGGAATGTAAGGGCCTCTACACTCACATCTTCGCGGAGAGACTACGCTAACACCCGCTAGCGTATACATCACCTTCGTCACAGCTCTACTACGACGACTGGCTCCTCCTTCGGGCCAGAGTGGACTGCAGCACATTGTGGAAACATGGAAGGAGCCGGACTCCAATGGTGCCTTAACCTACAAGTGGAGAGACGACTTCAGCCGCGACATTGTGCCCAAAACCTGCCACTCACACAATGACTACTGGCGCCCTGTTCCACTCTACATGGCTCTCGCAGCTGGCTGCGTCAGCGTGGAAGCCGACATCTGGCTGACAGACGACTCGGAGCTACTGGTCGGCCACTCCTGGAAGTCTACAAGCAGCGCGCGAACGTTGCGAAGCTTGTACTTGGATCCCTTGGCCACCATCTTCACGAATCGCAATGTTTCTGCGGCCTCTGCTTTGGAGAAAGAAGTGGGTGTCTTTGACTGGGATCCAAATGTGTCGACCGTCCTGCTCATCGACTTCAAATCAAATGGCTCGGCCATCTGGCCCGTACTACTCTCCCAACTCCAGCCGCTACGCGACAACAACTGGCTTACCTACTTCAATGGCACACATGTCATCCCTGGACCATTGACCATTGTCGGAACCGGCGATGCGCCTTTCCATCTCGTCCAGGCCAACTCCACAAACCGATTCATCTTCTACGACGCCCCGCTCCTCTCCCTCTCAGAAGACAAGTACAACGCGACAAACTCCCTCTACGCAAGCACCAATCTCAAAGCCGCAGTCGGCAGTGTCTGGGGCCGTGGGATGTCGGGTAGCCAGCTCGACAGGGTCAGGCAGCAGGTGCAAGCGGCAGAGGCAAAGGGCTTGAAGAGCAGGTACTGGGATACGCCTGACTGGCCCGTTGGGCTGAGAGATGGGGTGTGGAGGCGGTTGACAGAGGCGGGTGTGGGCATGTTGAATGTGGATGCGCTGGTGAGTGCGACGAGTTGGGATTGGGGGTGGTGCGTTGTAGCGGGTATTGCTCTCTGTGGGGATAGCTGAGGGAAGATGCAGACACCAGAGGTTAAGAAAAAAAATTACAACGTTGATGACATGCATGATACTCGAGGATGTGAGTTTTTAGACAATTTTTTGGGGATCAGATGACTAATCGCAGAACTCCTCTCGCGATACTCTACATCTTGATCTAGGTAGGTAGGTAGGCAGCACACCACAAAATATCTCCCCCATCCCATAAGCAATACCCATCACTTGCCAACCATTACCTACCGCAACCCATCGACCTTCTTCCCATTTGTCTAACAGTAGCCCCTGCATGTGGTGTTCCCAATCCATGTTCCCATTCACCTACCAGAATCGGTACTGTGCTGTCCATAACATGGTGGAGCCAGCCTAGTCCTAAAAAAAACAAAGCCTCGCTTCCCCATGCTAAACATAGATTGGCCATATGCTCTGCATCGACGGTGTGCCGATCTCTGCGCTGTGCGAGATGTTATTTACTTACTGTTAGATACTAACCCATATACATGTACCTAGATTTATAACGCAAGGTGGATTGGGTACGGTGCTGTACTATACCAAGTTGCTGACAGTTCACAGGTGCGGTGGTGGTGGTGGTGGTTAATTGGGGATAAGGGGAGTGTGCAGCGGAAGGGGATCTTGTGTGACCGTGGGGCTGATGGATCGTTCCATGTTGGATTGTTCATGTGTAGGTATAGGCGAGACGGGTTGGTGGGATAAAAGGCCGGGGGGGGTGGCGATTGTGTGGGTGGCGCTGGAAATGGGGGGAGCTAGAGTAGGGAGGGTGGGAGAGGGATATTTGCGTCATTTGGAGATGGGTTTGGGGATTGGTTGCAAGTTGTGTGGAGGCAACTGCTGGGTATGGTTGCAAGCTGTGCAGGTGGAGTCAAGGGCATGGATACACACGTACTCTACTAGGTAGTAGATAAATGTAGTAGTTCCTGTCGAGTCAATTGGAGATGAACATGCCCAGGGCCAACACTTTTTTCTTCGAGGATGCAGCATTTTGTTGTCTTGTCTCTGGTGCCTAGTGCGTTATCGATAAGACGGCACGGCCTTGGCTAGAACGGATTGACGGCAGGGGTCCGCACGTCATGTGTCATGTCCGAGCGAAGGCTATCACGTGACTTGCAGCTGACAGTACATACCGCATCTACATGCCTTCCAACCTCCACCTCTTCTGCTAAACAAACCGAGGTCGAGGCAGAGGAGGAGAAGAAAAGCAAGCTGCCCCCAGCCGACGGCATAAGGAGCGGCCTCGAGCAGGGAGTACTGAGAAGTCCTACAATAGTAGGAGCACCAATGGCCGTGGACCAGGGTAGGGCTTCCTCAGCTTCAGCCTTCAGGTACACGGAATTGATTTGGCCATGAACTGATTAGCGTCGTTTCACAGCCCCTGCAATGGCTTTGCACCCGCCATTCATTCCCTGCACCCTTCATTCTGGGCCGGCGACGGCGGCGGACGGCGTCGTCGCCTTTGACGGAAACAAGTCCCTCCTGCTAAAAGTCTTTTCCTTGCCCTTCTCTCTCAGTTCTCTGTCTCTTGTCTTCCTCTCTCTCTCTCTCTCTCTCTCTCTCTCTATCCCGTCAATTGCTTCTCTCCATTGCGCTGCTTTTGTGTGTCTCTCTCACTGGGCTCGACGCTCTTTCTGCTTTAATCTCCTTATTTCCTTTATTCACCCTCCACTCCCGACGGCAGGCCTTTCGTCCAATTGCTGTCGCTACCAGAGTCGAGACATCCTGCGTCAAGAGTGCTCGACGCACATTCTTCACCAGCTCTTCCTCGCTTTCTCCCTTTCTCTCTCCTGGGGCTCCGGGTCTGCATTCTGTTTGCTTGTCCCGCTTGCACGTGCAAAAGAAAAAGTGACGATTACGACTTCTACGACTACACTTTAGATTTTCCTTCTTTATGACAGGCAACGCCCGATCACCCTCCACGAGGTCTTTCCGCCATTCAAGCCACGGCTTCCAACCGCTGAGCGGTGTCGGCGACAACATGAATGATCGATCCACCGATATCCCTCTGCAGACGGTTGTGAGCCATACACCCTCGCACTCTTCGCCTACCTACAAAGATGAAAAGGCGGAGAAGACGGGCATCTTCCACAGGGGCCGCAGACAGCTAGTCAAGTTCGACTCGAGGACGGGTGCGCCGTTACCGCCCCGTGCTGGCCAGGAGGAGAAGACGGCCCTCAATCACATGGGCAGAATCTACACCAAGATTCTCAACTACAGCATCATTACCCGCTACATGATCTATGTCGCCCCGATCGCCCTCCTACTCGCCATTCCCATTATTCTCTCGCAAACAGGCACCATCACGGGCAACATCAGCGGCACCAACCAGAAGAAGTTTTGGATCTGGATCGAAATCATTTGGCTCAGTTTCTGGGTCATGAAGATTGTCGCCCACTTCTTGCCCAATGTCTTTGAGTTTCTTATTGGCGTTGTTAGCCCTGGTGTCAAGAAGTATGCCCTGCTCCTGCGCGCCGTCGAGAAGCCCATTTCCTTTGTTTTCTGGATGATTGTCAACCAAGCGACCTTTCCTGCGCTTGTGCGACCCGTCCCGGGACTCAAGGAACGGCCATCGTGGATTACCACAATGCAATCGGTTCTGCTTGCCTTGCTCGTCTGCACCATTATTATCCTTGCAGAACGCGTTTTCATTCAGTTGATCAGCATCAGCTACCACCGCAAGCAGTTTGACGACAAGATTAAAGAGTCGAAGCGCAACATCTACCTATTGGGCATTCTGTACGACACTTCCAGAGCGCTCTTTCCTGCGTACTGCAACGAGTTCGCCGAGGAGGACTACATTATCCAGGACACTATTCTTGATTTGGGCCTGGGCAGCAAGAAAGGCACGGCCAAGCACGGTCGTTCTGGAAGTCGGACACCCATGCGCCTCATCCAGGAGGTCGGGCGTGATGCTGGCCGCATCGGTGATAAGATTACCTCTGTGTTTGGCAACATTGCTTCTGAAATCACGGGCAAGAAGGTTTTCGATCCCAACTCGGCGCATTCTGTTGTCTTGACGGCTCTGGAGCGCAATAAGAGCTCCGAGGCTCTCGCGCGGCGAATCTGGATGTCCATGGTAGCAGAGGGCAAGGACAATTTGTACCTGGATGACCTTTTGGAGGTCATGGGCGCAGAGCGTCAGGAAGAAGCCGAAGAGTGCTTTGCTGCGCTGGACCGGGATGGAAATGGCGACATCAGTCTAGAGGAGATGATTATGACTGTCACCGACTTTGCCAGGCAGCGCAAGTCGATCAACTCCAGTATGCATGATGTCGATCAGGCTATTAGCGCTCTCGATGGTCTCATCTTGACCATTGCTCTGATTGTCTGCATCTTCACATTCAGTCAGTACCCATTATTACAACGTCGAAGCTCCTACTAACACAGCGTATAGTTGCCTTCCTGGCTCCCGGGTTCCGCGCCACACTGACCACGTCTGCCACGGCGCTCCTCTCTTTGTCCTTTGTCTTTGCCACGACTGCGCAAGAAGTCCTGGGTTCTTGCATCTTCTTATTTGTCAAGCACCCATATGACATTGGCGATCGTGTTGACATCACGAGCGAGCAATTGACCGTCGAGCACATTGCCCTACTCTACACCGTCTTCAAGCGCGTCAGTAATGGAAAGACTGTGCAGATTCCAAACATTGTTTTGAACGCTCTATGGGTGGAAAACATCACCCGAAGCAAGGCGATGAGGGAGCAGGTTTCGGTCTTTTGCGCATTTGACACTTCCTTCGAGGACATCAATTTGCTCAAGCAGGAAATGACAAACTTCGTCCGCGACCCAGCCAATAGCCGCGAATTCCATCCCGACATTGACATCGAGGTCGTCAGCATTGAGCAGATGGACAAGCTGGAGCTGCACGTCGAGATCCGCCACAAGAGCAACTGGTCCAACGAGTCTCTGCGCGCATCCCGGCGATCCAAGTTCATGTGCGCCTTGGTCCTTGCCTTGCGCAAGGTTCCCATTTACGGTCCTGCAGGCGGAGACGCTGCTTTGGGCTCGGCAGACAAGCCTACGTGGTCTGTCGCTGTACCACCTGCCGACGCTGTTGCGGCATACAAGGCATATCAAGATCAGGCCAACGCCAGTCGTCTCGTCCCTCTGAGCAAGCCAGACGACAACAACGATAGCGGCAAGTCCACCGGTACCGACTACCTCGGCGTGGGAGCCCGAGGCGAAAGCAACGCCATCAACGCCATCAATAACCGTAAACCCGGCCTTGACACGATTCGCGACGACACGTGGGAAGCACGTGGCGACGACGTCAGCACGCTCGGCCGCCCCAGCACAGACGCCCGCCCCGATCTCGACGAGATCCGCGGCATGATGCGCAAAGCCAGCTCCGTCGGCAAGCGCAAAGGCGGCTCCACCCTCTCCCCCTACGGCTCCCGCCAATCCGTCGACACCATCCGCCAAAACATCCCCCCACCCCTCCCCCTTTCCGTCAACCCAAGCAACGGCAACACCACCCAACCCTACGCGCCTCCACCCTCCTCTGGCCCAACCTCGAATCCACAGTCTTTCCTCCCCCGCACCAGCACCCTGCCGGGCTCTCCAACCTCCATCTCCACGGGTTATGTAGAGGAATACCAGTTCCAAACCCTCGCTCCGCCGCCCCGCTCCAATAGCCGTCCACCTGCTGCGCATGTGGAAGAAGACGAGGGCGAGAGACGATGGGACGGCAATGCTGGTGCGGCCGGTCAGTCGACGAATCCATTTTATCACCCGCCTGGGGCGGCAGAGACGCAGGGAGGGGCGTTGAAGCGAGATTAGCATTCTCGGCTGAAGAAGAAGACCAATCTGGTGGCTTAGTTACGGATGAGTGAGGATTAAGGATTCGACGTGCTGTTGTGTGCATGGCTTAATTGCGGTTTTATGCCAGCCCAGGAGCCGCGTATGTACATTGTACATGTTATATTTATATTTAAAAAACCTTTTTTTCATGCCATGGTTGTATCTGATATCGCGGTCTTGGGAGGACTCTGTGCGCTCATAAGGGTTGATGATGGGCGTTTATGGCTCTATTCATCCTGGGTATTTTACTGTTCTTTCACTGCTTTTTTTATAGCGCTCAGTATGAGTTGGAAGAAGGGTGAGGATAAGCATCATGTATAATCTGCACTTTGTAAAACATAAAGCGCGATATTATGTTTTTCATAACCTGCACTCTACCTTCTAATACACCAAGTACTCAAGTGGTCAAGCTATAAACACACACACCCGCGCTCTTTCCTCTGTCCTCTTCCCTTCTTCCTCTACACCCCAACACTTCTCCCAGCATACTACGCCACTCTGTCTGCTTTTTCTCAAAACAAAGGACATGGATGAATGTGTGGGGTATGTGGGTTTAGGGTGTAGGTAAAGAAAACTCAATCAAAATCCTCCGCATGGGGTGGGGGGTTTTTGGGAGACCGATCTTGTATGTCTGTGTGCTGGTGGCAGCTGTAGTGAGCATGAAGGGGGTTATAGGTCATGGTACGGTACGCAGAGGAGCGAGTTTAAATGCCCGTGGGTTTCTAGGCTATGGGTGGGATGGGAGGGATGGGAGGGATGGGGTGTGAGAATGTAGCATACACGCACGCACGCACGCACGCTCGTTTTTTTTTGGTGGGCGAAGATTGTGTTCTTCTTGGCAGGCGAAGTTTTTGCTTTTTGTGCTGTTTGAAAAATTGCAGTGCTGGGACTGGGACTGGGGGTTATGGCCGGGGTTGGCGTTGGAGTCTTAAAGCGGCTGTGCTAGGGGATATGTCCATGGCCTTGTGCACTGTGGATTGGGTGAGTGTGGGCGGGGGGGAAAGGGAAAGGGTATATAATCAGCTACACACACTATCTTTCTCCTGTAACAGGAGATTTCTTCGACGAGGATACAAGGATCTATCTGCCATTGTACATTTGGAGAAAATGCTGTATGTGTGGAGAATGGCAATTTCAACTCGAAATAATGCTTGCGTCCGGCATATGTGTCTCCTCTCCCCCCCTCCGCGAAAACAAAGTCTCTCGTCCCCATGACGGGAGATTTGGGGCGTTTGTTCAGTTCGAAAAAAAGAACACTTCAATGCCATGTCTGCGCAGCACAGGTGTAGATGCTACAGACTTGGCGCCCGGGGACGGGGGGATATAAAACCTCGCCCTGCTGGATACAAAAAATCCAATTCTTCACTCGCATGCGGTGCTGAAATTCCGTTGGAAAGATGTGATTGCGCTTGAAAAAGCAGACAACCATACGCATATGATTTCCCCCGGAAGTAGCGCTGAAAAAAATATAGGGATTCTATCACAGCCTGGTTTGGGTAGCAAACTGCGTTGGGTTTTGGGCATGTGATGTCTGTGGCTGGGTTTGGTTTGGTTTGCATGAGTTGCAAGTCTACTGGTTTAAAGGGTATGGGTGTGAATATAGTTATGTCTCTTCTGTGTGATTCTTCAAATTTTCGTCTGTGTTTGCTTTCGCTTTATTGGGGTGTATTGTATGGGGACTTGAAAGTGGAAATGCTCGGTCTTGGGATGGGAGATGGGAATAAATTTGAGAGACTTAGAACACATGAGGGTGATTTTGGAAGTTTTGGTGCATGTATCAGGATTTTGAAAAAATTAAGGAGTGTGTTTTAGTTCCATGAGATTGGTTTTGGGGGGTTGAGCAAGGTTTGATAATACATGGATGTTTTGAAGACGGCATGGTATGGAAACATGGCTCATGCGACACAGATGTGGGTGATGGGATAAATGCATGTATAACAAGGGACTTGGGAGTGGCTCGAAAGGCAACTGTCATGTTAAGAGTATCGAGATAGTCTGTCTATCGAAAAGCATGGAGTGCTCGTTACAATGAACGGGTAGGGATCTATAAGGGATGGAAAAAAGTTGATTCACCTATCATATGACAAGAGGTATAAAGCTCGAAACTAGATCGCATAGTGCCTTTTCATGATTTATTTCTGGGTCTTTTGAGTCTGTTCTCCAGCCTAGAATCTACAGGAAAAGTAGTGTTAGTTGAACAGTGTTGTACGCGTACCCAGTACCCATCAGAAAACCGACAACACCTTACTCAACTCCCTACTCACCTTGCAAATTCTCCTCGCCCTCCTCATCCGGCGCAACATCCCGATCCCCCAGCGCCCCTCCCCTCCCCCACGCCCCCTCAAACCCCCAATCCTTCTTCAAAGCCCCAGCAACATCCAATCCCTTCGTCCCAGCCTTCCCACCCTCACCCACCCTATCCGCCTGATTCATAATCCCCTTCCGTAACCGCTCCACACCATCCTCCCACTGCTTAATCTGACTCGAATGTGCCTTGTCGCCTGTGGAATCTACGCCACGCTTGATGGCCGTGTACAGCGCCTCGTCAGCTTTACAATCCTCGTGCCAGGACGCGGTAAGCCAGGGTGACAGACTGTCGCGTGGATGCGGGTGCAGGAGTGCACATGTAGGACCGCAGGTACCTGGGGCAGCGGCGCGGCTGCAGGAACGGCAGAAGAGGCCGTGGTGTTGGATGAGGTTTTGGGTGAATGTGCGGATGTCGAGGGAGTGTTTGATGTCGGCGAGGTTGGTGAGGAGGGTGTTTATGCGGGTGAGTTTTGTGGAGTTGGGGGTTTGGGGGGCTGAGGATGGGGAGGTTGTGGATGGGCGGGCGGGGGATAGGAATGGGGAGTAAGAACGTCGGTGAGGGTGAAAGATGTCGAGCCAGGATGATTTACCTTGGTCCTCTGCGTCCAGGTGGGACGGGAAGCGGAAGCGGTTTTTGGGACCCATGTAGAATATCCTCGCTTGGCTGAGGTGAGGCTGTTTGCTTAGTTGAGGTTGCAGTGAGCGCCGTTGAGGAGAGAGTCTAAGAAGTGACAGCCCAGGTGATTCAGTACGAGAATTATTCCATAGAGATAATTAAGGTGCAGTTTGGGAGCATATTGTTGCAAATCTTCTACTCTTTAAACACACAGTCATGTGAGGTGAATAAGGCTTCACAATGTACTTTGACTTCTTAAGGCCTGGTTTGCCTTGAGCGTTTGAACTCTGTCACTACACTGCCGGGATCAACACTCGACTCCTTAGTGAGCGGGAATTGTTATTGTACAAGGCAGACAGATTCCCGAATCTTGATATCCTGACAGCGCATAGTCTCACAGTGGAGGCAGATTGGCATAATTGTTTGTGTAAACTTTATATGTGACCCATTATTTATTTCGCTGTATTAGCGAGCTATTCACGACGACAGAATTGCATACTAATAATAATGTTTTGTAATGAGCGCAATGTTTTTCAATGGGCTTGCGATGCTACAAAAAAAAACTCTACAATTCTCGATACCTCTTCCTCACATCTCCCACATCAGCCATCTTCCGCTTCGTCTCACTCCTCAACACAACACCACCAGCAACCCCAGGCGCCTCATCCTCCCCAACCCCAACACCAACCCCCCTCCCCCATCTCCCCTCAAACACCCACTCCCCATCAATTCCACCCCCAACATCCACATCCCTCACCATCCACCACCCCTCCTCCCAGCACCGTTCCGTCCGTGTCCTCGTATCAGCCCACAACACCCCGACAATCTTCTCCCACTTGCGCACCGTCTCCTGGCTCACAGCATCCCCTTTACCACGCATATCCTGCACAAGCCCCTCATACATCTCCGTGATCTTATTCGCGTGTAGAACCCATGCAGTGTTGAAACCATGGCCGCAGTGCAATTTATCCCTGGGCCGGAGGAGCGGACATGTAGGGCCGCAGGCGCCTGGCAGGGAGAGAGGGGTGCAGGAGGCGCAGTAGAGGGATTTTCGTTTGTGGAGGTAGAAGAGGAGTGTGCGGATGTAGAGGGTGTGTTGGACGGTAGAGAGGAGGGCGCGGATACGTTTTATGCGGATTGGTAGGTTGCGGATTGGATAGGGCTTTTGGGGTGCAGGAGGGGTGCAGGAGGAGAGGGGGGAGAGGTCCCGGCGTGAGGGACACGGGGTGAATTTCTTACTGCGAGGCATATTTAATAGATTAGGATCGGGGGTATCTTACTCTGGTATTCGTCTAGGAAATGGGATTTGAATTTGACTGTGTGGTGTTTAGTGTTGAGGTAATTGCAGAATATCATGTAGTGAAGTGAGACTATGAAAAAAAAATACAAAGGCATTATGAGACATTGGCATAACGTCCTTTCAAGACATTCATATTACTCTATCCTGTGAACCCAACAGTGTCTGGAGAACATGGAACTTGGAAACACAATGCGCAAATGCAATAATCCGCATAATATATTTGAATCCGAGTCATGTATCAAGCTGTAATGACTCCAGCCATCCACGATATACTCGACTGAGATTGTAAGACTGTAGCACTACCAGCTAAAATTCATATGGAGAAGCTCGTCTCACATGGAATATCAAGGCCCTTGCAAACGGTCGACCTACTCCTTCAGAGCCGTCGGCACGACTCTGCCAAATCCCATTTCCGTAAAGGTCCGCGCAATGCGTGGTCGAACATGTGGCGACTCTGATCTTGGACTTTTCTTCATTTCTTGTGTAGAGGGTGGGATTTTGGACTCGTGGATGCAGGAATTCTGTTGCGAGGTATGCGCAGTATCAGCGACGTTTAATGACTTAGCGTTGTCTTCTTCATCGTCATGTGGAGAGGCTTCTTGGATATGGGTGTCAACCTGAGCACACTGTAGATCAACTGTGGGCACCAGGGATGACGCTAGCGTTATGACTTCGTCGTCTGTGTCAAAGCTCATATTCCGGTACATACACCGAGGATAGGCAGAGGGAAGCAGCGTGGGAAGCTGTGGCACACGTCTATGGAACGATTTGCTGCTTGGTTTGGTGCTGTCGAGTCGTGGGAGCTCTGTTGCGGTCTTCATGCTCTTGCATCGGACGGCGGCGTTACGTCTTAGAGCGCTCGGTTTATCTGGCTGAAAGAGATCTTCTTCAATTGCCAAATGTGTGGTTGGCACTTCATCAGTGACTCCTGTTACCCAGCTTATGGTGCTAACACGATGGTCTGTCAAACTGTCCCGAATATGGTTCCTAGCTTGCTGCGAGGACAAAGTGTCTCTATCGGATCCACCATGACGCTCTGAGGCGTGTAATCCTCCCAGCGTCGGTAGCGAATTACTACTCAGGGACCTCCAACTGAAGATATAGCTGTAGTCATTCAATTCGTCCGATAAAGACCCCATGATGTTCGATTCGTCCGAAGATGTATCGAATATCGACCTCTCTTCCTGATTGGTTATAGAAATGTGATGAAAGGGGGTTAAGCGGCGCCCGTATTGATCGGCTATGACAAGGCTGTTGACTAAATGCGCTATCTCGTCGTTTTGCTCGGTGGGACGCGTCTCTTGCCGGGCCCAGAGTTGGAAATCTAGGTCTTTTTCCATCTTGGTCGGTGGTTTTGCAGGTAATTGACTGCCATACATTGTGACACCGCCTGGTCACTATATAGTGTGAATGTTTGCTCGCCGAAGACATTGTCGGAGATGTAATCAATCAAGAGGTCTCTTCACAACGACCATCGTCAAAGTGTATAGTTGGCCAGGATGTGCCATTGTCTCAGGCTTTGGAAACCTCTGGAGGCGGTACTTGCTCTAGTCGTCCTCTTGCCGCCTCTTGACCTCAGCCTCAACACCCCGCACAGTCATTGGTACCTTCTTGCCTCCCCATTTGCTCTTCTCCTGCTGCGCGAATCCCTCCAAACTCAACATGCCAACACACAAAAATCCTAGCTGCTCTCTATCCGCATCGAAAACCTCCCACCATTCACACTCTGGCATCTTGACACCGATCTCCCTTGCGGCCAAATAAATCGCCGCGGTGGCCAAAGCAGGCGGCTGATGCGTCAGGTATAAGAGCTGCGGACTCAATAGCGCCGTGTTCAGATGCGCGATTGCGCGCTTTGCAAGATCAGAAGCGCGCGGGTGCGAGAAAACATCTAGCGCTTGGAGATACGTTATACATAACGTGTATGGGAGAGCGACCTGGATCTGGAAACCTAGGGTACGTAGTATACGGTGTTCGGTGGCGAAGAGCATTGTGCGCGTGCGCTCATATGTGCCCTCTGAAACATAGTAGGAAGTTGGGTCGGGCTTCTGGCGGAGGTGGTTAAGGTTGATATACGTAGACGGCAAGTATGCAAGATACGCGTAGACATTGATCAGACTTCGCGCCGATTTAGGGTACGCGGAGAGCTTAGTGATGAGGTAGAGTGAGGCCATGGACACGTCCTAATCGCAGTCAGTGTAGAACAAAAGAACCAGGCGCAAACTTGACCTACTTCAGCGCCAAACTCTGCCAAACTACCACCCTCGGGCCCAACCCAGAATCGCATGAATATGACGATTGCCTGCGCAATTACTTCCTGGGGAAGCCGGAGCAATTGGCCAGCTGCTTGGGTGAGCCTTGCGCCTGCAAAGCGTATCGAGTCTTCCAGATCGATTGGGATGCCATCGAGCTGTGAGCCCGAGGTTTCTAGCTGGGCTATCGTAGCCATTGGGTTCGCGAGGGGTGAGGGCTGCATGTTTGTCGTTGCTCTGCTTGGTGGTTGTTCGTGAGGTGATGTCTCTGGCCTAGAGGTTACTTGACAGGTGAGCTCTACATCGGAGGTCCGATGATACAATGCCTCGGTCCGCTAATTTTGCGCTAGAGCTAATTCCACAAAGCGAACATTTCTAGCAATATTCGAAATTTCTAACGATTTTGTGTCTTGTGAAGAATGAGACATCAATTTCTCACATTGCTGCAATCCAACCGGAGTGATATACCTAACAATGACAAAGATATCCAATAAGAATTATCCAGTCTCCTTAGCTCAATTGGGAGAGCGCCAGACTGAAGTCATCAGTCACTAAATCTGGAGGTATCGTGTTCGATCCACGAAGGGGACATCCTACTGTGCCTGAGCTTGCTCAGGACACTTCGAACTATCTTTTTGCCGGTTGTTGTGCCATCACTCAATTATGGTTTGCTAGCATGCACACACACAGGGCAGATGAGTCATTGTCTGAATTACATTTTTTGCACTTTGTGCTAGTCTAGAATATTCATTTACTATCATTACCTTGGTGTACATGAGATGCGAAACAGACAGTATTCAGCATCAACTATGATTATAAGTGAATGTATTACATGCAGAACCAAATGCCCATATATCTAAAAATGCATTACAAAATGGTATAGTGGGTATCTCGCTCGCTTCATGCCCAACCCGTCGATGTGAACAAAACTCCAACAAATGGCCTAGCGAATGTAATGCAACGCGAAAACGAAGGAAGGGTATATCTATACTTAATCAATGCCAATCATGGTGCCATCGCACCTCCAGTCATCCACTTCGACATTTCTGGGCGCAGTATTGATCGCTTCGGCGTCAACCTGGATGTAAGTGAGCCATGTGCCAACACGGTTTGCGCCAACCTTCTTTCCGTCTCGTGAGAGTCCGGCCATGGCTGATGCTGTAGCTGGTCTTGATGAGCGCGCTGGGGCGGGGGCGGGGGCGGGGGCGGGGGTAGGTGCCTGGATGCGGCGACCAAAGAAAGATGTGCGTTGGGTCGACTGTCGAGATGAGGTGCGCGGTGCGAGAGCAGGCGTGGAACGGACTGCGTACGACTCGTTCATGTGGTGACCGCCAGCGTTGCCCAGTGCATAGACTTGACCAATTGGGTCTGAGCGGCGTACTTCTGACGTCCTGGGACGGGGGTCAAGACGCATTCGTGACTGTAGCTGTGCGGCTAGCCCTGGGTCGGCTCGATCCACGTCACGGCTGCGTTCGCTACGGTGGCGGGTACGTGTGCTTGGGCGGCGCGCCAATGGTGGAGCAGGTTCCTCCGGAAACTCGATAACCTCACAACGTCGTGATTTGCTGCGAATGGGATGCGTGCATCCTTTATCCCTTTCTCATCTTCAACATG